GTAGCCACTGTGCCATTCCATCTCATTGAGGGTCTTGCCCTTTTTCACTGACTCTCTACTTTACCAAGCATGAAAGCCTTCTCCAGGGAATGGTCTTTTCTGACAACATGACTTCCTCTAGTGCCCCCTATTGTCAGAATCTAACAAGGAATCAGCTGGTAAAGGAGAAATTTGGCCTCTGGAGTCCCAGCCTCCACACCGTAAAGCAGAATATGAGAGAAGTTTTAGCTGAAAGACAACAGCCCATTAAGTGGCACAGAGATAATTAATGCAAGTAAATGGACATTTTACATTGCATAGTCTACTAGCTGAGATGTTAAATAATTACTAAATTTGTTATTAAACAGGTTAAATTTGTTTCTAAAGAAGAGTAAATGCAAACTGAATAGGGGTGGGAAGGCAAATAGACTACACCCACAAATATATATAGGTTTGACAGGGAATATCTCTACCTATGTATTTATACGTGTTCAAATACGTCCATGAATGTAGTAGAGCATACAGGGGGCAAAGTTATGAAAATTTCTTAGTCATAACCAATGTCTTGAGGAATAAGTCACTGGGCACGGGGACTCAGGACTCAGGTGACACTAAGGTCCACTGGCATAACATAGTCTACAAAGACAATGTTCTACATCCTACTTTGGTAAGTAACAAATGGGAACCTAAAAGCTTGTGAGCAGCTATCTAAGATGCAACTATTGGTCTCTCCTCATCTGCAGCAAAGAATATGAAGAAAATCAAAAACTCAAGGAAACAATTAGTCTAAAGGATTTCTGGAGGACGTGAATCCCAGCCTCCATGACCCTATGTTGTTGTTGTTGTTTTTGCCGTCGAGTCAGCCCTGACTCATAGCGACCCCTCCTTGGGTTTCCGAGGCAGTATCACCACAGAAGTAGGATTGCCTAACCTTCCTTCCGAGGAGTGGCTGGTGGGTTTGAACCGCCAGCCTTCTGGTTAGTAGTCAAGTGCCTTAGGCACTATGCTACCATGACCCTAAGACCTGAGGAATTAGATGGTGCTCAGCTACTACTACTGACTGCTCTGAAAGGGATCGATCACACATGGATGGAGTGGGAGAAAATGTGGGACAAAACTCAAAAGTATAAAAACCAAGCTTACCAGTCTTACGAAGACTAGTGAAATCCCTGAGATTATGACCCTTAAATACTCTTCAAGCCTTCAAGCCAGGAACTGAACTCAACCCCTGTGGCTCAACTTTTAGCCAAATGTTGTTGTGATAGGCAGTTCTATAATGTGAACAATGATACCAGGAGGGTATGCATTTATTAGAACAATCAAATATAGAAACCAAGAGGGCAGCATTTGCCCAGGGAAAGAGCTAAGAAGGCAGGAAGGAAGGACAGAGGGAAGTGGTAGGTGCAGGGAGGAAGTGAAAAGAGTGCTATTATTGTATTGTGGGGATTGCAGAGAATGTCACACACCAGAATGTGTGTGGATGTTGAATGGAAAACCAATTTGTTCTATAAACTTTTACCCAAATCACAATAAACAAATTAAAGCAATAAAATAAAATAAAGATGAGTGAATGATCTCCAAAATGAGTTTCAGGGTTTTTCTTTAAATAAACTATTTTACAATAAAAGAGGAAGCCAGGAACAAGAAAAGGATTCTGGAAAGTGAAATTAAATCCTGGGTAGATCAGATTTCTACTGTTTGATGGCACAAGTGGTGTGAATTCCAGCAAAAGTGCCATGCTAGAATGAAAATGGCTCCTATGCCAGCAAATTGACTGGTGTTAAGTTTCTCTAATTAGAGTAGGACCAGAGTGCTGGGTAAGGTACTGACAGTGAAGTGTGTTAGTTTAATAGATGAATTACTAACACTATCCTGCTGATTCCCAGGCACATGTTCAAGGTGGCCTCCACTAGTAAACTGGGGTGGAAAACAGATCTTTGCACATTTGCTTCATGGCTGAAAAACAAGTAATTTAGGAGAAGACATCTGGACACAAAATTTGAACAGTGCTCACAGCTCATCAAAGGCTTGGCGTCTCTGGCTGCTAAGCGACGTATTTCTTACACTCAAAACACAGTTGTAAAAGTAAAATGCTAGTGCCAACTCCGGGTATTTCTCATTGAAAAAGAAATAGCCATGACAATTTTTCTTTAAGCCTTAAGAAATTTTATTTCCTAGTGATAGCTTAAGATCATTACTTCCCTAACTTTGCTTTTCACATTCTGAAGTATAAAGTGGAGATAAACTTTGTGTTTTAAAGTACTCTCAAGTGAATGTTGCATAAAGATCTTGCAATATTTTTCTCAAGCCCTTAATTAATAACACTCTTTTAAATTAGGTGCAAATGCCTTTCAACTTTTCATAGTACACATGCTTTTCAACTCTTTGGTTCTTATCATGCTAGATGTATATAGAAGAAAGCCAACAGCAAACTAAATAAAATTTGCTTCTGCTTGGCAAGAAGGCAACAGAAGGCCGATGTAAATTATTTTCCATGTATGCACTACTTTGAAAAATGTATATTATGATACTCATTAAAATTGACACAGAACATTAACCCACTCCTCCTTTGCTTTTTTTTTTTTTCCTTAATATGAATCTATTTAAAATGTGCCAATATGCTTTAGCACTTGGAAAACAGGAAATGTTAACTACCCAAACAAAAGTCAAATCCAGAAAAGCATGAAGCAGATCATTTAGAATCACTGCCTAGTTTCCAGGTGTTCTGGTGGCACAGTGGTTAAAGCACTTGCCTGCTAACCAAAAGTTCCACAACTGAAGCCCACTAGCTGCTGCTTCTGTCAAGTTTTACAGCCTTGAAAACACTATGCGGGCAGTTCTATTCTGTCCTATAGGGTCACTTGAGTCAGAAGCAACTCTATGACAGTGGGTAGAGCTAGCTTCTTTTTCTTTTTTCTTTTCTGGGAAGCAATTAAGAAAGTTATGTGGCAGGAATAGGGAGTAATGAGCCTTCTATTCATTTATTTTTATTTTTAAATTATGGAATATGTCTCTGTATTCAAATATGAAAGAGAACTATTGAAATGACCTGCTATTGAGACCAGTATACTTACAAGAGATTTTTTTTTTTTCTTTTTCTTTTTTCCTATCTTTCTTTAGAGAACCTCCTTCCTAAAACTCTCCTAAGCATCCTTCCTGGCAGCCTGATGTAGCAAAGCAAGGAAACCCAGGCATGGAAAGTTTAATAAAAAAAAAAAAAAAAAAAGCTTAAAATAAAAAGACTTGGAAACCAAATAAGAAAGGAATAGTTTTAAAAGAGAACTTCATTTCATACAGAAGGCTACAAAAGGAATGTTCTACCATTTCAAAGCAAATGCTGTGCAGAGATATTTCAGGCTGGTTTCCAGAAGATCACTTAATTATAGGAAAGATTTTCCATTGTGCATAGTGCCTGCACTGCCTGGTTCTCCCTAAACTGTTGCCCTCCGGTGTCTTTGTTTACATGTGGTTCACATTTATGTCCACTCCATTAACCACAAGTGTTTCTCTACCCCAAATGTATCAACACTTCCCCTTCAAACCAGGGGTGCTTTGGTAAAAATAGAAGAATTAAGTAGCAGAGGTGTGTGATTCTGAAGTCTTCTGCAGTACATCATTTAATTTACCATCCTTGATGTTTGCTCCCTTTTGGAGAATGATTTTACAAACTATTTCAAAGTTTTCAATTCTTATTTTTCTTGGATGTATCTCAAACACTTTAAGAATTAAAATTAAAAGGTCGATTCTTACCAGGCATCTGAGAGGCATTACTTAAGACTGCCAATTGGAGCAGAGTTGTGAAAACTGAAGATCAGAACTATGATCAAGCTCAAAACCAACCCAGACTTTGTGCCTGAGTGTCATACTTACATGGAGGTTTAATGATTGTGTAAATACATACTGTGTTTCCAGAACCTCTGGGCCTATAAAGATCAATTTCATGCTTCCGGTTACCATCTTCCTTAAAAAGGGAAAATCTTGGACAAACATTCCTTCCTTATGTATTGAATCTCTGCCCAGACTCTTCTGCACTAGTGTTCAGAAACATATTCATCCAAAAACCAAATATGCAACCTGAATGTGATCTGTCAGTGGTTGGGTAGATGCCTGTGGTACACTGGTTGACTAAGCAAAGGAGTTGCTAAGGAACCTAAGTTTGTTTTCTCAGCTTATTGGGTTTATACACCCTGTTTGCCCCCACAATCACTCCTTCCCAGGAACTGAGGTTGTTGTTGTTGTTGTTATGTGCCGTCGAGTCAAACCCGACTCATAGCGACCCCTCCTTGGGTTTCCGAGGCAGTATCACTAAGGAAGTAGGATTGCCCAACCTTCCTTCTGAGGAGTGGCTGGTGGGTTTGAACCACCAGCTGTCTGGTTAGCAGGCAAGTGTCTTAGCCACTATGCTACCAGAGCTCCCAGGAACTGAGGTAGGTCCCTTCAAAGAGGACCTGTAAGAACTCCATTAGGAAGCCAGATTGATAAATGAGTCCTTTTGAACTCCTCCCCTTCTTCTGTCTTGCAGAAGAGGTTCAACTAATAAGGCATTGACATTTTATAAAAGAGGCCATGGCATAAAAGTGACTACAATGGATGAACCAACAAGCCCTTTTCATTGGGTTCTACAAAGTTATACTTTTTGGCTAATTGTAAACAAGCATATCCATGAGTCCAAAGACCATCTTGCTTTCTTTTTCCCTCCATTATTTATGCACATTTCCCAAGCATTCTGGTCCATTCTTTTCATGCTTATCCACCTGTGCTACCCTATCAAGGAGTGCATGATATCTTGCCTTAGTGACTGACAGCCTAAACACATCTGGTCATTTAAGATGGGGTATTGCTGCTGGGGCTACCCAGAAGACAAAGGGAGAGTTGGAGTCTGGCTGGGTTTTCTGCAAAAAGCAGTTAAGTAAATTCTTAGTGATAAGAGGCTTTTGTAAAACAAACGCAAAGCCTTCAGCAGAACTGTCCCTTCCACTTGCCTTACCAGAGTTTGGCCCACAAACCCAGATTGAATTTACCTCGCGAGTAAACAGGATGGCAGCATCATAATGTTCCTCATGGTCGTCTTCCAGTTGATTGTGCTGATGCTGCCACTTGCAAAAGTTCTTGAGCGTGGTGGCCGCGTTCTTGCTCACCTCCAGGGTCTTGTCCTTGTCGCCCAGCACCACCACCTTCACCACGGCCAGGCGTATGTGGTTTTCTATGCTCGCGTGGCTGTACAGACGGTTGGCGATGGAGGCCAGGGTCAGCAGGTAATGCTGCAGTCCCCGACCATACATCCGCGCCATAGACGCGTCAGCTACCAGGAGCAGCTCCACCTGGCGGGCCCGGGAGATGGAGCGTCGCCGTCGCCGCCACCACGTCTGCTGACCCGAGTCCCCAGAGGGTGAGGGTGCGGACTGGTCCTGGATCTGCGGAAAAAGCGCAGCTCGCTGGCCAGAGCTGTTTTGAGTCGAGGGACGCTCTCGGGGCCCAGGTGCCAACGCCCGGGTCTCGCAACTAGCGCGCGGCGGCAGAGCCTCAAAGCTGAAGCCCTCGCGGTTGTAGATATGCAGGATCCGTGGAGACCCATCACCGTACACGCGCCGGTTCTCCGCCTCCTCCCAGGGCCCGCGCAGCATTGGCTTCAGTGTGTAGCGTGCGTGCTTGACCGCGAAGAAGCCGTCTAGACCCCTGCAGAGGTCAAAGACGGCCAGCGAGCGGGGACTGCCATCCACTGTGCCCCGGTAGAAGCAGTGGCCCCGGTGGCGCCGAAGTGCGCTCGGCCCGCCTCCTGCGGGCATCAGGCCAGCGGCGCCCACCGAACCATCTTGCTCTAGGTCCAGGAGGAACCGCTGGCCGTCAGCGTAGACGAGGTAGCCCACCTTGCCGCCGCCTGAATAAAGTTGGTCAATGTTCTGCACGAGTCCGCCGCTCCTGCGCTGCGGCACCAGGGGGTACGGGTGGCCCTGAGGCTCGGCACGCTCCTGAGCTTCCTCCCCTCGCCGCCGGCGGGGCTGGGTGGCCGTTGCAGCAGACGGAGGCTGCCGGGCTTTATCCTGTGCAGGTGCCTCGGCGGGGCCGGCTGCGGCCGGGGGCAGGCGGAGCGCGCACAGCAGCAGGGACGCCCACCCGAGCAGCATAGTGCGCTGCCCGCGGGGAGGGGCTGCGCGACAGGGACTTTATGGGTATTTGTTATTCGCTATGCAAGTTATGGGGGGGGGGGCATACACACACACACTTGCTTGCAAGGTTGAGTCAAGTGTAGGAGGGAGGGGGGCCCCCCCGGCAGCAGCGCCAGCCTTTCCAGGCCGCGGTGTCAACGTGCGAACTTTTCTTTGTTGGTTTGGAAAATGTTTGGATTCCTGCCCTGGAAAGGGAGGTGGGGGAAGTAAAAAAGTAAAAAGCCGGGTGGTGGAGATTCAGCAAATAGGAGAAAAGAGGAAAACCCCTAACTCCGACCCCAAATAAAGAGCCAAGATCGCTGCATCAAAAAAAAGTAAGGAAGGTGCTGCGCACCCCGCCGGCAACTGGTGCGCACTGCCTCCCACCACTTGGTTCTTCCGGACCCGCTGGCTGCAGGGGTTTCAAGCTCCGGCACCCACTTCCTTTCTTATTTTGTGGGTTTCGTTGGCTGTGCTGGAACCAGAAGGAAGGGAAAAAAGAGAGTAAAAAAAGCCATAAAATTTAAAACAAAAAGGCAGGGGGCGGCCTGCGGCAAGCCGGCGAGGCGGCGCAGCTGTTTTCCTTCGGATGCGGTGTCTTCCAGCTCGCGGTCATCCCCAGTCGGCCGCTGCGAGCGCAGAGAGCAGCGCGAGCGCTGTGAAGATGCGAGGAGGTGGAACAATGAATTTATAGCGGCATGCCATCCTGCAATGGCAATTTCAACAATTCGTCACTGCACGCTGCCTCTTAAAGGGAGAGCTTCCCCCACCACTCCCACCCTTCCTGGTCCGCGCCTAATCAGACGGGGGAGGGCTGCAGGCGGGGTGGTGGTGATCGAGGAAAAGGAGACTGGGAAGGAGGAAGGGACCCGGCGAGGTGATAGGAGGGACAAGGGAGAGAGCAAGGGCGAGGGAGAAAATAAAAGTAAGAAAAATAGAAGATTTCCTTGGCCTCTTTTAAAGCCACAGCGGCTCCGGGTCTGTCTGCTATTTCACAACCAATCGGGTTTGGCCAACCTCGGCTTACCTCATCTCCTGATGGGGTGTTTTGGTGTGTTTTTAAAGTTATTGAGACATTTCAAGTCTCTCCCTGCCTCCTCTGGCGTGCTTTGCTTTCTCTCGGTAGGAAGCTCCTGCCGCAAGTTTTTCCCTTTTGCACGGCGTTACTCTCTGGCCTCGAAAACCTTGGAACTCCATCCACTGGGATTATGTGCTGGTCCCTTCGCCCCCGTGCGCCTTTCGTCTCCTTCCAGCTGTCCGGGTACTGGGTTTGCTCCCTCCTCATTCCCTGGCCTCTGCGTGCTTGCAGGGTTCGGGCTCCGGGTGACTAACTTCTCCCGGCCACCAGCAGAGGGGCTGGGCAGCCAGAGAACCGCGGGCGCTTCCTGGCGCGTCGCTGCGTCCTAGGCTGCGGTGCCCCCGGCAGGGCCGCCAACATCCTGGGAAATCCGCGCCTTTGTGTGCGAAGGGCGGGCTACCCGCCTTCTCATGAGAGTTTTTATCAGTTCCCACAATCTGTTACTTAATCCCAGTCGTCAGGGACTTCCTTTGCTTTAAAAGGCGAGGGCAGGAAAGAGTTAACTCTTGAAGGGACTCGTCATTAACATTTTTTAAAAAAGACTTTTAAAAATTGTGTTCATACTTTCTCTTCTTCATCTTGCCTATGTGCTCCATATCTGTGTTTATCTCTCCTAAAATAATCTATCATTGCCCTAGGCCCTGACCTACTATCACACTCAAAAATTCCTTTTACGTGAGAAAGAATATTTTTTTCCAGACTGGGAGATGCTTATTAGTACTCAGGTGGCATTGTCACTGCCAGCCCATTTCTCCCACCTCTGTGTTTCTTTTAATTATCAAGAAGGAATAATGAAAAACCCACTTTCTAATCACTGCCTAGTAGTGATTAGAAGCTCTACTGAGGGGCAAGAGCGACCCCCACCCCCACCTCCTTCATGAGTCTTCAGGCAAATTAATAAATACACAGTAAATAAATGAATTCCATAGAATTAACACATTTCTGTCCTTTTCTACGTTGTTTAACTTGCAGTGAGTCAGAGGATAGCAGGGGTGTCCATCCCAGTGGTCCCCAAACTTCTGGTAGTTTTTCCAGACTTTGCTAAGGAGATCTGATCTCTTTAGCAGAGAGAGAACCAAGAGGGTCCTGCACTGGTCTGAGGTTCTCCAGTGATGCCAAACCTCTGGAGAGAATCCCAAAATTGTCCAGTACCTTCTGTAATATTCTGGGAGGGAGACTAGAATGACCTGAGCTCTTACCTATAAAGTAAGTTATTAATTGGGTCTGCAGAACATTCAACAGTCCCTGGTGAATTCTGAAGTACCTACTGAGCTGAGAAGAAATTGCTGCTGCTGGAAGTCATTGCCTTCTACTCTTAATGGTCAGTTGTCCAAGGTCAGTACTACCATCTGAATATTTTGAGGAAGCAGAGAGATTAAGGGTCAGCATCTAAAAAAGAACCTTGGTGCCAGCAGTCATCTTTATGTTCTCCAAGAGCCTCCAAGCCTTATGCTAGCCATTCACCCTCCCATAGTCATTGTCTTATGCCTATAGACAGCAAACTTTTATTTATTTTTTTTTACTGGTTCCAGTGAAAAATAGTCCAATATTTTACCCTAAACACTTTCTCTAAAACAACCTAGATTCAGTAAATTTAACTGTTTTCTTACTGCTAATTTCAAAGAATCATTTTCATTGATACTTTGGGTAACAGTAGTTTAATTTAGTAATTTCAGTTCCTTGTATTCATAGACAATACCAGTTGTCATGGAATTGTTTCTGACTTATGGTGACCCGTATGTGTCAGAGTAGAGCTGTGCTCCATAGGATTTAAATGACTCATTTTTCAGAAGTAGATCACCAGATCACCAGCCTCTTCATTTGAGGCACCTCTTGGTGGACTTGAATCTCTAACCTTTGATTAACAACTGAACACATTAACCATTAGTACCACCCATGGATTCCACTGCTTCCTAAGATGCTTATATAGCATCTTAGGAAATTCCAAGTAGATTTTATTAGGAATGAAAGCATTTGTCCTCTTCATAAACACTGTATTTATCATATGAATTGTGCCTCTGAATTTTATGTCTTTAAGTTTAATTACATAATATTTGTGCTCAGATTATACAAATGTTAAGAAATATGTTGATGAAGAGGATAGAAACAGATAAAGCCCCAAACATGAGTATCACCTACAAATAAACGTGTTGTTATGTGCTGTCGTGTCGGCCCTGACTCATAGCGACTCCTCCTTGCGTTTCCGAGACAGTATCACTACAGAAGTAGGATTGCCCAATCTTCCTTCACCAGGAGTGGCTGGTGGGTTTGAACTGCCAGCCTTCTGATTAGTAGTCAAGTGCCTTAGGCACTATGCTACCAGAGCTCCTCAAATAAATGTAGGTGATATTAATTTTGAAATATGAAAATGAACATCATATTCACAAACAAAACAAAACAAAACAATAGTCCTTATATATATAATAAGAGCAAATTCTTACATATTCAGAAACTTTCTACTTAGATATATATTTTTTTTTCTGTGAATATAACTTGGACACTTTGAAAGTTTATTTGGTAATACTTTTTAAATATTACCCTAGTGGATTAAGATGAGCTGCTATATTCCAGAAAAATTAATATTGGCCAGTGTCAGGAAATAATTTGCATTGGATAAAAGTAGCCAACATTCTTTGTGTTCTTTTTATGAGAGGAAATATACTATCCACCATGTTTTGGTGGTGTAAGTATTACTTCATTCCAAGTAGCATTTTTATTTGTGCATATTTAATGAGAAATTTCCACTGCATTTATAGATTATATAATCACAAATAAGTTTGATATATAATTTCACATTTCCAAAGAGGAAGAGAGACTTCCTACTCCTTTAATATTAATAGTTGGAAACTACCTTGGAAATTATCTAAGTCAACTGCTTCTGTCTATGTATAGGTGAGAAACTAATGCCTAGAGACCAAAATGACTTTCCTGTCGTTAAAAAGTTCACTAGTGGTCCAACTCTTTTGAAACTTTAATCCCCTGACTCCTATTTTGGTGCTCAATCTACAATAGCACTGAAAATCTATCCAATTTAAAAAATATCTGTTGAGGTCCTCCTAATAAGTGCTGTAAGAAGTTCTCTGGGAGCATGTGAAGATGAATAAGGCATGATTCTACCACTTGTCTATCAGTTTGTCATACTGTGGTGGCATGCCTTTTTATGTGATACTGGAAGCTATGCTAGTGATATTTCAAATACCAACAGGGTCACTCATGGTGGAGAGGTTTCAGCAGAGCTTCAGATTATGACACAGTGGGAAGAAAGGCCTTAGGAAGAAAGGCCAGACAATCTACATTTGCAAATAATCATTGAAAATCCTATGGATCACAACAGAATATTATTCAATATGGTGCCGAAGATATACTCCCTAGATTGAAAAACTACCCAATAGCCAACAATGGAGTCAAACATATCAACGATCATGAAGTTCATGCAGAACCGGGCAATGTTTAATTCTTTTATTCATGAGGTTGCCATGAGTTGTAGTCTACTGGATGGCAACTAACAACAACTATAGAAAGCCATGATTAATGCTTTCAAGGAGCTCCCAGTTCAGACATGAGGTCAATTGTACTAATAGATACTTGGAAGATTAGCTGGAAAATACAAATATAGAGGGGTGAAAAACAAGAGAATAACTCTTACAGATGCTGTAATCTGTGTATTCCAGTACAGCTTCACCATATAAGATTTGTATTCCCTTGTAAGAAGTATTTTCTTAAATTTCCATTTGCTAATGTGCTATTTCCTTTTTTCCCTCCAAATCTATGTTTTTAATGCTAAGAGTGAGAAACTATTTGACAATAAAATATTGCCCTCCAGCCATACACCTGCTCGTTACCTTCCATGTAGGAGAATCACAATCTTCCAACTCTTGTGTAATAGTTTTACTTTTCCACATCAAGATCCCATCCTTTTGTTGTTGTTATGTGCCATCAAGTCAGACCTGACTCACAGAGACCCCTCCTTGGGTTTCCAAAGCAGTAATACTACAGAAGTAGATTACCCAACCTTCCTTCT